GGAATTTGACCTTAGGTCTGCCCTGAGAAACTGGGGCACGTTTTATCATCTACTTTCCGCCATGAAAATACACATCTCAAGACCATGGACTGTTTCTCTTTCATAGGAATCTACCAGGGGAGCAATGGAGAAGGCCTTTTACCTACAGAGCCACTGTTTAATTTCCTGCAGAAGATCTCTTTCTCTGTGTTACCAGCCACTGCGACCACCAACCCAAACAAGCCACCCGCAGCCAAGCCAAACCTAGCCAAGCCAAGCCGACCACCTCAACAAGCCAAGGACTCCTCCCCATGGGACACAGCCAGAGTTCCCCTTTCCCCTTCAGCTGTGGGCTACATAAAGCCTGCAGGCCCCTACTTTGTTCTCAGCTCTTTTGACGCTTCAAGTGGCACCTGGGTGACCAAGAGCCCGAGAACCAGTCAGTCTTCTGCCTTGCTACAGGCCCCCCAGCCCCTACTCCCCAGCTCCAGCGGCCTGTGGGACCTCAGACTGAGCTCCTCCACCCCCCCACCATTTAGCACAATAGCTCATCACGGAGGAAAGCCAAAGCTGGAACTTAAAGCAGAGATCTTGGAGGAGTGCTGCCTGCTGGATAGCTCACACACACACTTTGACATATAGCCCAGAACCAATCTGCACAGAAGGCTGGGCTCTCCTATATCAGCTAGCAACCAAGAGAATGCTCTATAGACATGCAACTGAGTGATGATATCTCAGTGACTCTAGACTGAGTTGAGTCAACAGTGAAAGCTCACTAGAACGGCTATATTAAAAATTAATAGACTAATTTTTTTTGATGAAATAGATTTCAAAACCTGATAGCATTTAGGCTGTGGCATAGTTATTGCTCACTGCCTTTATTAAGGACTATAAAGAGAATTAAAAGCAGAGAGTGCTATCATGTCAAAATGCCCTCTAAATATTTAGGTTTCTATCCATAGACCAATTCCGCTCTGAACCTTGGTCAGTGATGATTCTCTTTGCAGTGTGTAGCAGCCAATGGACAAATGCAGAACTGGTCAAAGTATGGGGAGCAAAGGGTTGAGTGCTCAGCCCCAAACAAGCAATCTGTACCAATTCCCCCACCACGCCTCAGTGACCATCACAGAAGAAGTGGAAAGAATGTAAGAGCTGTAGGACAGAGAGGGAGCTATGACATGCTGTCTTCTGGGCCCATCATGGCTAATGCACTCGTGAATTCACGATATCTGTGGTTACCAGCACAAAATCAAGCCAGTCAAAAATCCAGTGTGGGTTGAAAAAGAGCTCAAAGCCTCTATCACTGATCAAGGAAGTATTAGTAGTTTATAGTTGTTGGGGGAAGGAAAATTATTCTTTCGAGGGGTTGTAGCCACTGGTAGGTTTTACAAATTCTAATGGATGGTCCCATACCATGCACAACTGGGCAGAAGTAATTGGAATTAGTGATTTAAAAAAGTAGAAGAGGACATAAACTTGGGAGGGGGTATGTTTAGGGTAACTGGGTAGAGTTGGAGGGGTAAATGAATGGGCAGATAACATATATAAATAAAGTTGACACAATATAAATTAAAAACTGTAGCAGAGGTCTATTAACTGTGCAATTTGATGAGAAATGTGACACAAGCATTGTTAAGATCATTAAATCTGGACAATATGTGTACAAACCAAATGCTTATAATTTTAAAGATTAACACCATTATAGATTTAAAAAAAATCCCATTTTGCACAGAGACAATGGATAAAAGTGCCTTAAGGGTGACCCTCAATCCATCAAAAGTTCAAGAATGTAGCACCACAAATACATTTGAAATGATTTCACTTAAAAACAGAGAGCCTGAACATAGAGAGATTGCTAGGAATGCTACCCAAGCAGGGCCTCTTAGGAAAAGGTTTCCCCAAGATCAGCCAGTCATAGGTGCTCAAAGACCACTGCACCTTTGAAAGGAGGCAAGAATGAATCTCCAGTGGGAAGCAGAACCTGGTGCCATCCATGTGGAACTCTTTTTCAGACAGGAAAGATGTAAGAGTTGCAGGGGTACGATGATCACAGAAGCTTGCAACCAGGATACCAAAGAGTTACTGAGATCAGATAATATGTAGCAAAGTTTGATTCCCTTCATGGAGCTCCTGAGTGGGCTGGTCAGATCCATAGGATATACGAGATATCAGACACATAAGATGCTTACTGAGGCAAGCTGTGAGCACTGGGTGGGCAAAGAGAGAGGCCATATGTGCCAGTGGTAATAGAGCTGAAGGCAAGGCTACCTCAAGCCTGTTCCAGACTGGGAGAGCTACAGATGGCAGACCTGGAGCTACAAGGTTTCATGTTTACTCTGCTGAGTGTCAGTCTTACTTTGATCCCAATTTCTTATTATCTTCCTGTTGTATTTGTGATAGGAATTTTTGCCAAATACCACTGTATGTTGTGAGCAAGGGATCACAGTTAAAGAACTGCTTTGAGTCTCTGAAGAAACTTTAGACTTTTGAACCGTGTTAGAACTATAAGACTGGATTTGATATTTGAGACTGGATTGAATGCAGTTAAGATTTAGATTTAAAGTGTTCTCTATGGACGTACTTGTTTCAAAATTGGTTCCCAACTGGTGGTGCTCTTTTGGGGAGGTTGTGGAATCTTTAAGAGGTGAGGCCTAGCTGAAAGAACTGAGTCACTGTGAGGTGAGGCCCTAGGCTGGTCCTGCTTTCAGCCCTTGTTCTGTTTACTGATTTGCCCAGGCCCTCTCTTGCCACACCTTCTTCATGTGATGAACTGTGTTTCCTCAAACCACGAACCCACACAAACCCCTTTTTTCCTTAATTTGCTTATTTCAGAAACAAGAACTGTAACTAATCAGGAGGCCAACAAAAAATAAAAGAATAGGCTAAACTATTACTCATTATAATAATTACATTAAATTTTAGTAAGCTAGTTCTTCTACTTAAAAGCAATTCTCAGGTAAATACCTAATACTTAGATTTAAAAAAAAAAAAGCAATCTCAGCTAGGGTTTCTATTTCTCTTATAAAAACACCACGATCAAAAGCATCTTGGGGAAGGAAGGGTTTATTTTGCCTTACAATTCCACAGCACTGTCCATTTATCACTTAGGGAAGTCAGAGAAGAAACTCAATTGGACAGGAACTTGTTGAAGGGCTTAGCATATGGTCTGACACTGAAAGCATCCTGTACATCTGAAAAGCCCCAGATATTTAGCTCTTAAATGAGGTTGTATTTTATCAACATGTAAGTATTCTTAAATATATAACCTCAGCAAATCTTAATAGAAGTTTAGTAGGGTTAAAACACCACAGAATATGTTCTTTGCTTAAACATAGAGTTAAATTAGATATCAAACATTTGTTATACATCTGGAAATTTTTTTTAAATATTTGGAAATGCTACAATACGTCCCAGTGAAGAAATCCTAGGGGAAAATAAAATATTCTCTTCATAGTGAATGACAATGAAAATATAATAATCAAAATTAATATCATTTTACTCAATGTCACCATTGCTTATCTAACCAAAAACTCTGGGGAATTATTGTTCTAAGTACCATACTGAGTCACTTCAAAGCCCATCAAGGAGCTGGTGAGATGACTCAGTGGTTTAAAGTGCACACTGTTCTTGCAGGAGACAGTTCCCAGCACAGGTGTCTAGGGAATCTGACAGCCTCTTCTGGACTCTGTGGCGATCCATACTTAAGTGTCTGAGTTTTTAAGACATGGTGCACTGAGCATAAATAGAACAGTTTGAGGTAAAATTGTCATTCCTAGTTGCTGTGATTTAGATTGGAAATATTCCCATGGGCTCAGTCTTCACCCAGCAGCTGGTATTGTTTGGGAGGTCTGTGGAACCTTCAGGAGTTTGAGCTTCACAGGAGGTGGTGCAGGCTTCATGTTCATGCTCTGTTTCTTGAAAGCAGATTCAGTGAGAGCAGCCAGCCTCCTGTCCTGCCGCCATGTCTTCCCTGCCTTGTCTCCCCCCACAGTGACCCTCTGAAGCTGTGAGCTAGAATAAACCCCTCTCTCTTAAGTTGGTTTTGTCAGGGTGTTTTTATGATAGCAATAGGAAAAGAAATGAAAACATTAGGTGTATCCTCAAGTCAATGTGGAACAATATTGATGAAGAGAGAGTCCTGCCTAATTTTAATAATTAAAATTTTGCCTATTTTGACTGATATGCTAGCAAACTATTATTATGAGAAAATTGTGATGTTAAACTTTTCTTGGTAGGTTTTTATTAAGCAGGGATTTAAACATGCAGATAAGCATAAACCTATAACCTAGGGAATGAATCTCATTAATGCTTTTTTAATTTTAAAATTAAAGGGTATGAAACAAAATAATAGGTATATGGCTTGGGGGAATAGCTCAGTGGTTGAAGACTTGCCTAGAACACAGGAGACTCTAGGCTCAATTCCCAGTACTGCCTCCCAAGAGGAAAATAAAATTGGTTACTAATGATCATCATATTATGATTATGCATAGCTTCATGCTTCTTTGTCCATGTCAATAATAATCAGTTAATAACAAATCAATATGCATGACTCTAAAGTAGCTTATCCTCACATATTTTCTTACCTCTCTAGTCCCGTAGGTCTGACCTGCTGAACCGTGGCCAGGTACACGCTCAATGTCTGAGACAGAGAGGTTTCAGAATGCAGCAGGAGCCCCTCAGTGAATGGTTGATTGTGACCTATTCTTGGTACTTAGCATAATTGTATAACCTAATCATAGATCACTCAAAACAATTTTCTGAGCTGTACATAAAAAGATGAACAGGTTCATTTGTTTATATTGTAAATTTAAGAAATGTTTAAAGTAGATGTCCACAGCTTTATCTTATGCATAATTCAATGTCTTCATATATAAGGTTTTATAAATATCAGATGAAATTGCTTGGCATCCTTATACTTTTGGATTCTAAACAACACTTGGGTTGTGATACATAGAGACACTAGGTTATTGAACTAGCATAAACGACTGTTAAATAGTCACAGATATGTAAATTATACTTACCTCATCTTTATTCTTAAGATAATGAAGAGATATAGGTCTCGATTTCAGATTTTCTCTTTTGTGTTCTAAGGAAATCCAAACATCCACAAAATGATTTTTTAAAAAACTGCTCTAGTTTCTCTACTACTAGTCAACTGTTTAGCCGTGTGCTTTAATCATCCCATTTGCTGACGCATGCAACATTTTTACATTTGTAGAGAGGCATCTACTCCTAAATGACTCCCTTGATTTTTTCCATCACATGTATTTGTCTTTGTGTATGTACATGTGTGCGGGTGCATGTATGAAACAGAACATGTATAAATGTCAGAAGACGACCTGTGGGAGTCTGTTTCTTCTACCATGTGGATCCCAGGGATTGAACTCCTTGGCAGTAAGCACCTTTATCAACTGAGCCATCTCACCAGGCTCTGAAATTGTTTACTTTAATATTGATGTCTTAAATGATAGAATATAATTTTCAAATATTTATCATTATGCAATACAATTTTATTTTCTTTGAAAAGGAATTTCTGTATAAAATAGAAACACACATGTTATTCAAAATATTCTTTAAGTTATAAAAATAATCTTTAGTAATAGTTGGAAAACAATAATATTCTCCCCATCCCACATTTCCCCTTTAGTAACTATGAATGCTATTCATTTAGATTATTATAGATTTTCTTTTTTAAAAAAATAATTTTTACTGGATATTTTATTTACATTTCAGATGTGATCCCCTTTCCCCATTTCCCCACCACCTAGAAACCCCTTATCCCATTCCCTCTCCTCCTGCTTCTATGAGGATGTGCCCCACCCATCCATCCACTCTCACCTCCCTGCCCTCGAATTCCCCCACACTGGGACATCCAGCCTTCACGAGACCTCCTCTCCTACCTATGCCCAACAAGGCCATCATCCCCTACATATACAGCTGAAGCCATGGGTCCCTCCTTAAGTGCTCCCAGGCTGGTGGTTTAGACCCTGGGAGCTCTGGTTGGTTGGTATTGTTGCTCTCCCCATGGGGCTGCAAATCCCTTCAGTTCCTATCAGGGGGTTCCCAATGGAGGAGTTAGAATAGATTTTCTTAATATAAGCATAGTTTATGTGACAAATATCCCAACCTTAGATTTAGATAACCCTGCACCTGAACCAAACCCATCTTTGTGAGTTATGTTGTCTTGAAAAGTTAACCTTGCTGACCTTTCTGCCCCATCTGTTAGTTTCAAATATTAGTAATTATCATACATGGTATGATTGTTTTGATGACTGAATAATACACTAGATATCTCAAACAAGATGGAATCTGATATTTATTCAGTTAATGTATAGTAGGCACTGGTACTAGGCTCTGAACTGGGATCACTCCCTAGTAATATATACTCATTTTAGTTGATAACACAGAAAACCAACAGAAAGCCCTAAAGAGTGAATGCAGTGTAAACGTATCTAGGCAGAGAGAGGAAATCTAGAGGTTGTGCTGAGGGAGGCTGGGGAAGAGGTATTTTAAGAATCAGTGAGTGATGCTCAAACTATTGGCAAAGTTCAGAACATTCAATGCCATTGCACTCTATAGGAAGGGGTTAGAGGTGAGAAGCCAGTGAAGAGGCTTCAGGATGGGATGTTAACCACCTTTTCAAAGAACAGGAAGATGGCACAAAAGCAAATAGGTTAGAAACCTCTGTTGCCATCATGGAGGGTCAGGCAGTTAGTAATAGCTCTCTTTGGGCAAGTAACTAAAATGTTAGGGTGAAATATTTTTATGATAACAATTGCAAGGTCTTTTATGAATAAACTTTGTTCTTTGACAATTTCGTGAGCATGAGGAGCAAGCAGCATTCCTCCATGACCTCTGCCTTAGTGCCTGCCATAAGGTCCCTGCTTGAGTTCCTGCTCTGACTTTCCTCAGTGATGGCTGGTGACATGGAAGGACAAGATAAATGAATACTTCTATCCGTGTATTAGTTACTTTCCTGTTGCTCTGATAAAACACCAAGACCAAAGCAAGGCAACTTATAGATTTAAAAAGTTTCCTAAGGCTTACAATTCCAGAGGGATAAGAGTAAGTGATGCCGGGCAAAGGCATGGCAGTAAGCTGCAAGCATGGTGGAAGACCTGGAAGCCAAGCTTGAGCCACAAGCACGAAGCAGAGAGAGCAAACTTGAAATGGAGTGAATGATTAAATTCTCAGAGCCCACTTCTAGTAACATACTTCCTCCAGTGAGGCTGCATCTCTTAAAAATCCTCCAAACAATGCCGCCAAAGTGGTCAAGTACACAAACCGCAGGGGACATTCTCATTTAAACCATCACACTCCCCCAAGATGCTTTTAATCGTGGTGCTTTATCACAGCCACAGAGAGCAAAGAGGGCACCTAGAAAGGGTAGCTATTATGTGGAGATTTTAGTGCCATTTGCATCTTTGTTGGGTATAGTTGTATAGTTGGGAAGATGGAGAGAAGGAGAGACGTCATATAGGAAGTAAGCAAGTACTATAAATAAGAGGTGAGGATGGTTGGATCATGATGGCAGCAGCGGAAACAGGGAAAAGACTGAACTCAGGATGAACTACTGTGGACAGGGCTTGCTGATGGTCTGGGTTTTGAGAATGGGGAGAACAAAAAGCAGAGGTGACTCGTAAGCTTCACATATGCGTTATCAGTCCAGTGTGTTGTGTTGAGAATGCTGGAGGAAGAGGATGGGAAAGCAGTTAGTACTTCTGGTGAAGCTAGGGAATCAGATGTCTTGTTCTAGGCATTGATTTAAGATGCCTGTGTGAGTTCTGAGATACCAGTATGTCATTCAAGGGAGGCGTCTGACATTCATGAAGATAAAAAGTATAAATCAGGATTTCTATGGTACATTTGGAGTGTGTGGGGGATGGGGGCTACGGTGCCACAACATGCATCTGGAGGTCAGAGGACAACTTTCATGAAGTTGTTTTTCGCCTTTTACCTTTATATGGATTCCAGAGATCACAGAGACAAAGCTGACTACTTCACCAGAAGGATAGGCCTAAAGTTTGAACATTTATTTATTTTCATCTTATATGACTGTTTTTACCATGTGTATCTGGTGCCAGTAGAGGCCAGAAGATGGCACTGGTTCTCCTGTACCTGGAGTTACAGATGATTGTGAACTGCCATATAGTTTCTGTGAGACAAACCTGGGTTCTCTGCAAGGGCAGCAAGCAGTTTTAACCACCGATCCAGCTCTCCAGTCTCAGACTCAGACTCTGAAATGGTTAGTTGCCTTTGTTCTGGGCCTCTGTAAATGTGCTAGCAGGAGGTGGCCTGGGGAAGGCAGCTTTTCTGACTCGCCACCATATTGACAGCTCTCTGAGTGCTTTAAAAATTAAGTTCCTGTCTCTGTTCATTGGCTTCTGTACTGACAGACACCCTAGCCCCTGGCATTCCAGTTACACATGGCTCAAGAAGGTAAAGCTTCAGGACTTTCAGTAAGTCATTCAGTTGCCTCAAAGAGCCCAAAGCCTGCCTAAGACTAGAAGGTCCTGGAGTCCACACGGAAAAACTTCCAAGTATTCGCCAGGTGATTCTATTTGGGGATTTCGCTTTTCCTGGCTTTAGCTTTTTCTGTCATCTTCACTTAGTAAATTAAACGGTGGGACTTTCTTCTTTGATTTTTAGCTTAAGGCATGTCTGGCCTCTGCCTAAAAGGTGCTTTCTGCTGTGTTTCAACTTCTTCCTAGCTTATGGCTTATTTCTCCACTTAAAGATTCTTCTACTGTGTTCTGTCTGAGTATGCCAGAACTTGGACTATTAGAATGGGTGGGGCAGCCTCCATTTCTGGTGACAGCTGTTCTAGCAAGTTATTCCAACTCTGCTTATGACTACATAAAAAAGAAAAGGAGACATTATTTTAAATTAGTATAGTATAATTTGAAATACTCTGTGCATTTGGTTTTAGGAAAATGTGTTTATTGAATGGATCTCTAAACTATGTAACTATCTTCTACCTGTTTTAGAATTGTTTTGCAAGGGAGCAGGAACGTGGAGAGGAATTCCTGATGTTCAGGCCTTAGTGGCAGTACACAATCAGGCTCTGGTCTTGACTGAAGGAAAATCAGTGATACAAATAGAAGTGCCAGAGTTGTTTTGGAAAAGCTACAGTCAGGAGGAGGATGAAGCAGACACTGGTGGGCTGGCAGGGATATGACACTATCAGACATAAGATCCTCAGTCCAAGCAAAGTTAACCACAGAACCTGCTTTCCCACAACCAGGAAAAACTAAGGAAGACAGAGAAGAAAATGAGGGGAGTCTGGAGTGGTATCCTCTTCTTGGACCATGCAAGGTACTCTCATTGGATGCTACTCATCCCTACTAAGACTATCCCTCCCACCCCCGCCTTAACATGGGGAATACTGGGCAGCTACTTGGCGACTACTAGGCACATACTCCCTTTTTCACACTAGACATTATAAACTGGAATTATACTGGGCAATCCTGTTGGTATGACCCTGTCAGGCTGCTTGCATTCATCTCTAGGTTGGTGTTCAATAGGCCCTGCTCACTCTCCTGATGGCCGATAGAGGGCTTATACTGCGTAAGACTAGAGAGGCTGTGGGGAAAACACATCAGGACAATGCCGTTTAAACGCTTAACCTTCCCTGAGATGGCCCGAGGTGCAGAGCCCAATTGTAATATTAATGAGATTAGAGTAGTAGATGTAGAGTGTTGGACCATGAGAAACTGAGTCAGGTTGTCTGAGACAGGTAGCCCCTAGCCATAAAGACTAGCTTAGTCCCAGCCTGACCGCTCAGCTCCACCCGCAGAAACACTATGTTCAGGTATGGAAAGCACACTGCCCTGCTTCCAGTCAAACCACAAAACCTAGCTGCAACTTCCTGGTAGGTGGCCAAGTATGTGTGTGTGTGGTATGTGGTATGTGGTATGTGGTGTGGGGTGTGTGTGTGTGTGTGTGTGTGTAGGTGGTGGTGTGTGCGTGTGCATTTTCTCTTAAACAGGATCTTTTTGCAGTCCAATCTGCCCTCAAACTTGCTGGCAGCCAAAGCTGGCTTTGAATTCTGAATTCTGCTGCCTCTACCTCTCAAGCACTGGAGTT